AAACGCGTTCCTTGTTGCTTTTGTTTCTGTGGTCTTAGCTCTTAAAAATTCGCAACTTTCATCTTCTGTCTACTAATGTAAGGATTGAAATAAGCAAATGTACAATTGTCCGTGTTGTTTTCAATAGGTGTGAATCAATGTATCACTCAAAAGACGAATATTCATTGAGGGCTTTTAAGAACAGAATATTTGGAAATAAGAGGGAGGAAGTGACATGAAACTGGATAATTCTGCATAATGAATTTCATAATTTATGCTCTACACCTAATATTATTAGGAGGTTGACAGTTAGCGTGCATGTAGCACGCGTGGTAGCAATAAAAATTCATACACATTTCATTTGCAATGTCAAAAGAGAATAAACCACTTTAGGGACCAAAGAATACATGGGATAATAGTATAAAAATGAAATTTAGAAATATAGAATGTGTCGATGTGTAGGTCTTACTTTTATTTGGCTCAAAATGTACCCATGGTGGACTCTGGGTGAATATTAACTTTTGAAGCACGTTTGTGCTCAATGGAGTTGCATAATTATTATTTATTTTACAAAGTATAACATGACGGCACGTGAAATTTTGCATGGAAACAACATAATGTTGTCTCATATTATGCATTAACTCTCTTAAATAATATTTAAGAAATAAGCCCGTACCTCAAAGAAAACACAGTCCTTCACCATTACAAATGTTTACTTGTTTCGTTTAAGGAATCAAACGCAGCCCATATATAAAAAATGTAAGAGTTACTGATCGTTAAAGCAAGTGGTGCATAAAGTTACCACCGAGCTTAAATGATTAAAGAGTTTGATGCAGTGTGAATTTTTTAAGTTGTCCCGATTACGAATAGATGACCAAAATTTTGTTGGAGACCGGTGATAGGTTATAGACCGTAGAGTTCAAGAAGGGCAGGCATTTGCTTAGTAAAAGAATCGACTATGATTACTCATTTCAGCCTTGTACCATTGTAGTCAGCTCTGCCTTATTTTCTGTCTAGCTCAGTATGTAAAGTAACCTGTCATTGGCTGTAGCACCGAGTGTCAATTTACGACAAGATTGATGCATAAAGCTGACGACTGACCACTTTCTATCCGCGAGTTAGAGACCGCGTGGAATTCTACTTCCTCGACACATGTATACATTCAAGCTATTTACATTTTACAAATTTCTGTTTTATTATATTAACTGACGCTTTCATTTTACACGTTGTATTTACATTTTACAAATTTCTGTTTCATTACATTAACTGACGCTTTCATTTTACACGTTATAATGGAAAATACTTTTGTATTACATTTATAAATTTATTTATTTGTTTTTATTCATATTTCTTCATTTATTTTGCTTTGTGTTAATATTGTTTCTATTTTGGGTTTGCCTGTACTTGGCAGTTACATTTAATAATGTACATGTATAAGTTTAGTTAATCCGTTTTTGTACTACTTTTCATTATTATTTAACTATTATTGTATGTATTATCAGTGTTTGCCTGTTATTGGCTTCTTGCTGTTGGCAAACACGTAAATAAATGAATTGAATTGAATTGAATTGAGACTATGGCGACCATGTGACGTATATTTATAACCCTTAAATCTAGTAAGAAGGAAATTATGAAGGAGATTTCATTGTTATGTTCAGGTTTGTTTCAAGACTAAAATGAACGCATAATTTGGAGGTAATGTGAAAACTTTCGCAAATTTTAATTCAAAAACTTATAAAGTTTGATTGGTGTCATTAATACAGGTCGGTATTCTTGGAATATAATCTGTGTTTGATATGAAGTTCAAATCGAACTTTGTTGTCTTTACGATGTCCATCTTGCCGTTAAGAAAGTTAACATTACTTAACATGCGTGTAATTATGATGCACAACATTTCTGGACGCTGTGGGTATTCATTAGAGCGCTATGAGAAACTACCTTGGCAGTTTCCAGCGCCAATTAACGTAGCAGGAATACAGAATGAGGCGAAGACAAAATGAATATACCTATATTTTAACATTTCCGTTCTCTGATTATCTCTGTCTTGAACCTCAGGCTTTTAATAGAATTCAATGGGGGTGTAATGCATCGTATCTGTATAATCTTGTTTGCGTTATGAACGGTAGACTCGTATATTTTATAGATCCAGAATACTAAATATAATCGATATGTGTTAATTTTCGGAAGTAAAATATTCAGACAGAGAGGCAGGATCTCTTCATATGTCTGTTTTACACGCGTCATGCAAAGAACGTACGAAATAAAACATTGTAAGAAAAAATTCTGAAAATAAGTGTTTAGGAAGCATAACTCTTGTGATATTACTACTATACATAAGTATATAGTAAGTTTAAATGATTGTCACTTCGATTCTTTAAGCAAATATGGAAGACTTTAGCAGCAAGATAAGCCAGTTCGATAACATCTGAGCCAGGAACCGTATGTTGAAACTTTCTTTTAAATTTTGTTTAAGTTACAGGATAGTCCAGCTCTATTTTCAACCGCAGAAGCAAACATAATAATGCATTTCTCATTGCCGCCATATCTTCGCTTATTGCCACATTATTACAGTAACAGTAAATCATAGGAAAACAGTAAATTCCGAAGAATTTCTTGATCTCTGATCGTGCAGAAAATGTTTGTTTCACAGGTGGCAGGAATTGATCTATGCTTGTAAACTTCTGTAAAATCACACAGAACCAAATTTTATAGCGTAAGTCAGTGCCTTTATTCGTTAATAGGGTTATTTTGGCCCAAAAACTAATAACCCAACTTAACCATCAAACCGATCAAAATGGCTCATAAAAGTATGTGTAGATACACACAGCACAAGATACAAAGCTCATTAAGATATAAAACTGTGACCTATTATGCGTATTCTTGAATATGACAATTATTTTAAAAATCAGAAAGGATCGTTTCTGGCTCTTTGCAGTTTGACATCTGTAGAGGGTTTTGATTCTGAGCAGTGTAACAGAGTGTAATACTGACGTTCACTTGTTTTATGTCGGAGAAAACACATAGTTAATGTACACAAGCCAGACTGTGACAGCAAAATGACAAATAAGTTCCTGATTGAAAATAAACAACTAGTATTTATAACTGAAGTAAGTTTCATCCATAGTAGACTGAAAATAAATACTTTCAATACATAACAATATATTGTATTGAATTTATTCACGTCTGGAAATTACGTAATGTGATTAGTGGTAGAATTTAATAACAAAAGTTCAGGCTATTTCCTTTGCAAGATCTGTGTACTTGAGATTAAGTTCCACTGCAGAAGTAGGTTATGTTAAACATCAAGGCGTACATACCTCTCTTTTGCATGAGCTTTAGAGAATATTCAGCATCACGTCACGTGTCGACAGGTGTTTGTGTTTCTCATTTCTGTTTCGTTATTCACTGATATTGACCTCACATTTTCTTCAGGTCATTACATAGCGAAGTGAAGTTGTTTAGTTCTAAATCCGTTGGAAACACCGACACAAATTCATGTCGCTTTGTAAACACGTCGTCAGACTGAAATTTTTATCTAACGTCACTTGTTGGCTGAAATCGGTAAAAACTGTACAGTAGTGTTTCTTATCACCTAACGATCAAAGAAATATTTTAACGGCTTGAAGTCTTGTAGGCTTACAAGATCTAAAGTTCATGTTACACCATGTTTAAAAGGCAGATTAACGCCACTTAAAATGTTGTGATGTTGTGACTTAGTCATTGCTTTTGGTTATTTATGCTTCCTTTGTTTTGAATTTACAGTTATCTGAACTTTGAAATATAATTTAATTGTTATCATAAATAAATGTTTTATTTACTATTTAATTATCCAAGAGGAAATATTTTCTTCAGTATTGTAGTGTGTGTGTTAATTTCTTTAATTTACAAGTTGGCTCATTAGATACTTTAATTACATATCGTTTAAACCTAAGTTTAATATAGTTAATCCTATTTATTCACCTCAGTTTTACTTAAAATATAACGTAAGTTAATATTATTAGAGCTCTGGTACTTTTATTCATATAATTAAATTTTATAATCAGGAATTATCCGGACTTTAGCATTTACATTTTGTGATTATTCAGTGTAACGAGATGTTTGTGTTAACATTTGAATTCTGAAGTATTTGAAACTAAGGAATGCATAGGTTTAAAGTGTAATTACCTGCAGCGTATAGCCCAGTTAGATAATTTGTGTAATTAAGCTATTAGTTCCTGTTCATTAGTTTCGTATCTATATTTCATCCACTGCGCGCCTTTCCTGCTGCAGGAATCGCATTGAATTAATTCAGAATGCACTTATACACGAGCTTTTCATTCCAACTTGAAATTATTTCGAAAAGATACAAAACAAAATAATGAATAGTCGCGTTGTAATATAACAATTGACCAGTGACAGAGACTTAGCTCTATATAAGGGACCCAACAGAGTAGGCACCTCTCACCTGAAGACGGAGACAGAACCAGTCTCCGAAACGTCGTGGGTTTTAAAGAACAGACGACGGAAAAAGGCCTGACAATGAATAATTTTAAGTGTTACGACTACCTGATTTCTTTGCTTGCATGTGAAATTTGGCCTGTCGCATTAGAATGTAAAAAGCACAGATTTTGAGTGTTTGAGATCAGAGTGCTGAGGAGAACATTACCAAAGCGGAAAAAATAACATGCGGCTGAAGAATATTTCATAATGAGGAGCTTCATAACTTGTACTCTGCATCATAAATTACCAGAGTAATTAAGTCAAAGGAGCGAGATCATGTAGAAGGCAATGAAGATATGATAAGTACTTAAAATTATAGTTGGGCAATCTGGTCATTGGAAAGACCTAGACTTTTTTTTGGGAGGATAGTACTGAAATGAGCCTTATAAAAACAGAATGGGACACTCTGGACTGAATTCATCTGGCTCAGGATAAGATCCAAGGGTCCAGATCACGATAATAAACCTTCTCGTTCCGTTAAAGCAGGAGAGGTTTTCATTATCTCAGCTACTAGAGAGCCTGTTATAAAATGTTGAACTTACTTGTGTTGTAATACGCATTAAATTGTGTTTCACCCACATTTAAAAATGTTTATGTGCTGTTGTAAAGACAGTTGGAAATACACAGCCTGGTGTAACTGATTCTCTCTTACTGAATACAAAGTTGGTATATAGTATTTAGATTTCACTTGTGTTACAATTTGCACCGAATATATGAACGCCATTATAAAATACGTCTCTTTCTTTTAGAAGAGAACGCCACACTTTCACTTGCATTGAACTTCCTCAAATTAAACATCAATCGTCATACCATAGATTCATATTCACTAGCACTTCACTATCTCTTCTGAACACTTATTTGTCGACACAAGAGACGGCTGGGAGAAAGTCAAAAAATTAACAAAACACGTGGTTAGGACGTCATAGTATGTAACAATCAAGTGACGTCATGGCGGTGCAACCTGCAACAATGTCCAGTGGCTTGTGCGGCCGCTAGTTACCGGCGTACTAGTGACAGTCGCTTCACGCGGCCCACAGCTACTGTGCACATAGCGCCCTTGACTCAGCTCGGCAGCCAGCCACAACACGCGTTACTGATGGCAGGCATTGGGGCTGCATGCACTCACTCATTACCCGACTAACAAAGTAACTAACAGCGTTAAGTAAATGGAGATTTTAGGTTCTGACGACGTTGGTGATCTTTTGGGCTGTGACGCCGTGTGGACTTATGGATGGCACCAACGTTTTGGAAGAGGCAATGTGTATGTTCCTCCGAAACTTTGATCACAACTCAGAAGACCAAAGTCGAAAACTAAGTAAATTACGATCTAAATAAAGCACTAACCACCCGGTAAAAGTAACTAGTAAATAACTAACCAACCAACAATTAAAATGATCAAATGAGGACGTACATGAGAAAGTAACTGAAAATCAGCTACTACAAAAACCAACTAATTAACCAACCAACTAAGTAATTAATAACAACTGACAAAATAATTATATGTCAAACAAAACTTGAAGGTCCCTCCTTGAATAGGTGGAAATTATTTAGGTGTCCAGAATTTCTATACATTTTTATAACCTGAATTGTCAGCCCCCATTCACAAAGCCTCTCGTTGGACACTATCCTGAGCCAGCTGAATCCTTTCCACGCTCTCTTCCTGCAACATGAGCTTTAATTTTATTACATGGCTGCGAGTAAGAAGATGGCTGTCTTCTGGTTTGTTGCGCCAAATATTCTGGTAGAAATTTACCCAGATTTCAGAGATGCTTGCTGCCTCCATCATCAAGGCGATCGCCCTGACGGTGGAAATGCAAGTACCTCTGAAACGTCGACAAACGTCTATAAGACTACACTGCGCAACAACTCAGTTAGGTGATTTGTATAGGAACATTGAATATTCAGTTAAGACTTAGAAATTAACAAAAATATGTTCTTTTAGCTATTGACAGACGAATTACATTTTGTGGGCATTTAATAAGTTAATTTGTGCTCTTTTAGAAATGAACCCTCTCTTATGGAGTGATAGAATAAGAAGAAGAAGAACAAAAGCAGATTATCGAAAGATATCAAATACTTAACGGTTGGAAACATCGGAATTTAACAAAAGAAATTATGCTAGACTTAACTCAATAGAAACTGATTGTCCGTGAAGAGTTTGTGGGGTGTCAAGGTCTCATAGCTTCAGAAATGATGAGACAAGGAGGATAATGTGAGTGGAAGGATCGATTCTTGAAGCTATCGATTATAAGAGGCTTATGTGTTACGGGCACTTGCAGAAGATGGGGGAAAGTAGATGTACATTATAACTGAATGTCGGTAGAGAGGAGGAAGAAAGGTAGACGGAACAGAAGATGGAAGGACCGTGGCAAGGAAGATACGGAATTTAGAGGAATTGAAGATCGAGACTGATATCACTGAATAGCATGGAAACTAGAAACCGAGAAGTGGCGACAGCCATAATTCCACACTCATTATAAAGTTTGAAAATAAAAAGAATTTGAAGCCAAATTTTAGTTCGTTGAACACGTAGCTGAGATAGTAATACCAGAGATTCTCACTCAGTGACCCGGAGCAAGCTACTCACAACGGAATGCACGTTCCTTGGGTTAGCTGCATTGTCCTCCTACAAGTAAAAGACACCAGAATGCAGCAGGAAGACCCGTCCTCTGTCACAGACATATCAGCGTCAGATCTTGTCGTATGCTTGTCCAGGAAGACGGATTACGAAACTTCTCAGAACGATGAAGATCTGAAATATTTGTGGTTACCCCTGGAAGGGCTAGGGGGAAGAACAGACAATCAAAACAAGTTCTTTTTGTATATTTTTGTCATAAATCTGGCTAGCAACTTGATGACTGTGGCCACAGCTTCAGTAAACGCTGATATTAGTCTCTCTTCAAATACTTTGTTAAATTATGTTACGTCTCAAACTGGTTTTTGATTAATGAGGCACAGTGGACACTAATTTATTTGATTATACACGTGTATGAAATTCAGCAGACTGATACACAAGGCTTTAGCCTCCTCCAGTAATTGAATTAAATGATCGAAACATGTTAAGAGTGTAGATATTTGTCCGCGTTTGCTCTACTCCTGTGATGGTGAGGCATTTCGAGGATCCGATCCTTATCCGTGGAATCTTACCACTTGTTAATACTCACTTAAAAACATCTACTGATGAGTATCTAATTTCACATTAGAGAGTCATGGAGTTTTCACAATTACCGATAGGCAACCATTTCATTAGATGTGAAGTAAATACTGTTTTTAATTCTATAAGACTTCTTCATAGTTGGCCTACAACCATTAATTATGGGATTGACGCGCAGGAAATTTGACTACCTCTTGTCATGTCAGAATGATAATTCCTTCTGATGTGGATAAAGTGTAATTTCAGAAGATAAAGTTACCAGTCGTGAATCCTGGTGCTAAGGTACTTTACCACATTTAATAGTACTGCAGTTCCACACAACCTGGCTTCTAGACCAGGTTTAATCATCATCATCATCAACAACAACAACAATAATAATAATAATAATAATAATAATAATACGCTGCTGTTGTGTTATACACTAAAATACTTGTCCACTTTTGTTGGTTTAGCGGCGGGCTGGCACTGTTTATTAAGAAGAAAGTTAAGTTGTATTATATTAAGTTCCAGTATGAATTAATGTCAGCGTTCATGAGTCGTCAGATAAGAGGTTAGCGGAATCACCTATAAGGAATGAATTAATCCTCGTTCATCTAACCCATAGCCAGCCAGTCACTACTTCCTTAACACTCCTAGCTCAAGGGGAAACTATTTCTAAGTTGGCAGACCTGTCAGTCGAACAATACATCTTTGAAACACGTAGGTGAAGTAACAATTCTCATGTTGTGCTCGAAAGTGTAGCTGACAGGAGCTCCAAGTCAGCACGGCGGAGATGGCATTTAAATGCTTCTGATTGGAAAGGAGGTGTTTAATTGCCAGTGATTGTACAGTGGGAGTGTTTGTTGTTCGTGCCCTACAGAGAAGTATAGGACGTTTCGAAATTCGGTTCCTGTATTACAGGACAGGTAAAGTCTGCGACTTTACCTGTGACTTCTTTGAAAAGGGGATACGCTCAGCTGGCAAAAACATTTATTGAATTAGTCGATCACAAAGGCCTAGGATTAGACCCCTATCTTCAGCGAATTGTATTTTGTGCGAGCCTTCGCAATCCTTGTCTTTATAAGATCGATTTTATTACTACACTGCCATACACGCCGATTTTTTATAATTTGTATTTTACTTCAAGGTATATCAACCAACAATTTATATGTATTTCTTATACCGCCATGTGTGTTGTTTGTTAATCTACTCCATGCTTCTTATAGTCTCTACTTTTATGGAAATCAGAATTTCATAATTGTGTTTACAAAAGCCAGCCACTTGTATCCGTACTGAGCCCATTGTATCCATTCAGTCCTGACCTTCAGACTTTGTATCTCCAAGTTCCGTTTTAGTATTATTATTCCAGCAAGAACTCTGAAATGCTCTTTGCTTTAATATCTTCCGACAAAAAATGTAGGCAGTCACCATCTTCCTCATGAGTGATACTTATAAAGCCTACCTCAAGATTTGTTCACTGCCGCTATGTTCGTATTATGAGTTTAATGGAATTAAGGAGAACAGCAGCGGGTGGCCTATTACTGATATGTGGTTCGTAGTAAGTTTCGTAAAAATTCTTTAATTGTTTGCAGTGGCGGTGCCTGGCTACCACTTTAAAAAAATACAAATTATTTTGTTTCATATTCAGGTTTAGTAGTGCTCCATACGCTGGAACACTCAAGACTTAATCAGATAAAATGCATCAACAGTGAGCTCCAGCCAGCCAGGCGCTCGACGCGAGCGTAAGCCTCAACTAGAAGGCTAACGTCTAGCTGGCTGAAGTTGGCTAACGATGCATTTTATCTGATCGGAGCTACTGTGGTACAGAGAACGAAGTACCATTAAACCATGAAAGCAAGACAATACTTGAAGATTTCTGTCTTCTGGGTTGTTGCGCTGTGTAGTCTGGTAGTTGTTTACCAACGTTTCAGAGTTCATACTGCATCCGTCATCAGGGCGATGAATCGCAACAACCCAGAAGACAGAAATCTTCATACTCACCGCTGTGAAAACCTCAAATCTTACAAGACAATACTTCATATTTTTCCTTTTTCAAAGCGTTGATATGGCCAACATAAACTTTGTGCGCTCGATTAGTTATTGGGTGAATACGGACGGAAGGGCGGACTCAAGGACACACGGGCATTATGGAACTACAGAAACAAGCCTGTGTCTCCTCACGAAATAAGAAAGTAAGAAACAAGGAACTGCATTAAAGAGAGGCGAGTCTAAATATTTGTCGGTCCCACTGTTCATGTGCCACAATAGGCGGCGATGACCGCGAACAATACAATAGGCATATTAGACCATGGTCGATAATATGGTATAAATAATAGAGCTACATTATTATGAAGTGACACTTGATCAAACATGGTAGTGTCCGCCCGAGGAAACCTGTGGTTGCGTTGTCATATGAGACATACAGTGGCAGGTTGTATTAATCTCAGATTGAGGCTGTCTGAAAACGAAGGCCCAAGTGGAAATAGATAAAATCACCTCACCCTTTGAAGCAAGAAGCTAAAGTGTAGTTCTTGATTCGTGAAAAAAAGCTAGCCTGTACAACAAAAATAAGTTACTTAATGCTGTTTAATGAAGTAACCCTCGTTTATTCTGAAAATCGCACAACAGCAATACACATATTTCATTCGCAAAGTGCAGAGTTATTGATCGTTAAAGCGGGTGATACATATACAGAATAACTTTTTTGAACGAGAACACAATGAATATTACGTATAAGAGTAGGGCTTGTGGTCTAAAATTAGACCTCTAAACAAAGAGAGTAAATTTGGGTTATCGTTTAAAAAATTACCGTTTAGTTATAACTGTGCTTTGAGTCGTACAGGAGGAGTCTTAATAATTTGCAATCTTTACTTAATGTAATTAAGGCGTTTAAATGAAGAAGAATGAGATGGACAGGGCTTGCCATCCATGGGAGAATTGAGAGACGCACAAGAATTAAAATTATTCGAAAACCTCAAGAGAAGAGCCCAGCTGGGGAACCTTTTCGTATATGAGAAATGGTTCTCAGAAGAAATTAAGTGTGAGGTACGAGCTGGAATCGGCTGATTAAGGATTGGGTTTTGTTGTTAGCTTTTGTGAGCGTCTGAATAATTCTTTCAGTTTCGTAAAAGCGTTTAAGCAGCTAAATGACTGTCACCTTTAGAAGAAACTCGTTTGAACCATGGAGATACTTATGCTTTTTTATATTATGATTAATGACAGTGTCGTGTTACTGCGGTCACTCTATAGACGACAATTATTTAATTCCCTGCACGGACCCAGGGGTTTTATGCGTATTATGCTATGCCTGATCGATTCTGGCGTCTATCCAAACTCCTAACTGATACATACTGGAAGTAAAGCGGCTGGATCTTGACGCTAAGCACTAAAGTTTTCATAATTGTTCTTAGTTATTTACAAACATTCTTTCACTACATGCGAATGGTAGGATGATAGTAAATTATGTATTGGAAAGAATGCGGAAGGAGGCGGTTGAGTATATTTTAAGTTATCGGTATTTTCACAGAAAACGGAGGGACTGAGAAATGCTTTAAAATTCATCGTTCTGATGATGAAGGCAGCAAGTACCTCCAAAACGTCAGTAAAAGTTTGCAAAACTACGCGGTGTAATAACCCATCGCCGCAAGAATTTCAAATCACACGCAAAAACACTACGAGGTAAGTGCCGAGCTATTTATTGTTGCAGCAGCTGGTATATATAATTACCAGTTTGTTGTAAATAGGTAAAAGAGCTTAAATCGAATTTAAAGTCCGTGTGTTCGGAATGTAAAAGACTTCCGGGAGAGTTGGATGCCACAGACTCATCAGCTTCCTCTGTTGTGAACAGCTTGTACAAGGAGACCAGTAAAAACAGCGCGAAGAAAGGAACAGAGCGTCTTTTGTTATGCCCGCAGTGTGCGATGGGAGTTCTTGTGTGTGGCGTCTTTGTCGCATCGGCTTCAGTATTTAAGAGGTGAAATACCAACATAAAATAAAATTATTTACTGTGTACTTCTTATCCGCTTTAAATTCTAACTCGTTGGTGCAGGCACTTCTTTCACCAGTTTTAAGTTTACTTAAGTGATGAAGAAATTCCTTTTTGTTTTGCCCTCTGAAGATTTGTTTCCGTCACAAGAAAAGTCTGCCAGTGGACATCATCCTGAGAAAGTTTACATTTTCACGCCTTGACAGATAAATTTTAATATTATCATTCGATAGGCGTGTGAGTCTCTTCCTTAGTGGTTTCCCGATAGTAATATGAAGTTCGTATCTCATTGCCCCGAGCCAGCTACCTGAATGAAAGGATTCCAGGTCCTCAGGCGACGAGTATGAGGATGACTGTATTCTGGATCGATGGGTCGTGTAGTCTAGCAGACGATGAATCGTTTTACAGGTTCTTACTGACTCCATCGTCAGGGTGTTGGTGGGAGATTACTGTTAAACTTGGCCTTGGAAAATATGTTTTGAGGATGAGGACTGAAGTCAGCTTCCTACGGATTTGGCAGGTATTGTGACATTCAGTCACTTTGCTACAAGTCTAAGTATTATGCTCTGCAGTTTTTATTAAATACCTTTTAGTTATCTTTCCCTCAGAGTAGGACACCAAGTTTTACGCTCACAAAACAAGTCAAACGATAGCATCTTATATTTAATTTTTTTTTTTGTGATATGACCCAAGAAGATAGAGATTGTAAAGGCAATGGAAGAAATATTTTCCCGAATTTTGTTCTTAATGTTCCTTCAATATCACGAAGCTTACAGTAATTACAGTTTTCTGTACTTAATTGCAGTATGAAGTACAACGTACTTTGAACGATACACACAGTTCGGGTCTCACACCCAAGAAAACACATATCTGCCACAAAGAAGAGTAAGATATCGATGTTGGTCTTCTGAGTTGTAACGCCGTGTGGACTTATACCGAAGCTCCGGAGAAACATATCGACACTGTCTCTAAGATTGAGAGCCTCAAATCTCAGCACTGAGATAAATAATTCCGTGTTTAGAAATACATTCGCTATCACTGTAATTTCTGAGAACAAAGGGAATGTGTAAATATATTCCTAGTTAAATTCGGTCTCATTGAACATTACATGATGTAACAGACATGGAATGTACAGGTGATATAAAGAATTATATGCATCGAATTTATGAAGACGCCATTTTAAAATACTTTTGTACTTCCAGTTAGTGTAAGAACATTGCAGGTGACAGACTAACAAGTCACTGACTCATAAACTGACTAAATACTTGATAAAACACAAACAAACCTACTGACCAACCAAAAAATCAGACATGAAAATTACAGTTAATGAAATCAGAAACCAACAAACGACTTGCTGTCTAACCGATTAACTAAATATTAGACTGACTCATTTTTTGGCTGACGTTCTGGTAATGAAACTCGACAACACCGCCTGGCAGATCATTTTATTCATGCATCCAGTTGTTTACAATATGGCTTCGGCTCTTCGCCTTTCATTAAAACAGAAGGAACAATAAGAAACCCCATACCAGGTCCATTAAGACAGGTAGGATGTCTCCTCTAATTACTGGGGCAATCAATTCCAGCGGGACACGGCACACAATGTGCAAATCCCGCCGTGACGGTGCTTCAAAGGAAAACAATGGGATAGTAACTTTCGGTATACAAGTCACACTGTCTCTTATTTGGACGCGAATATGTGTGTAGGCCTACAACATGCCTGGGGACATATTCGGGAAAGATAATGTCACGTTCAACCTTTGACGCACGAAGTTCATTCAAATAGTACTTAAAACTTCAGTTCCTAACATTAAAGAACCATGAGCAGAATTCGGTTACTGAATTTTATAAAAAATCGTACACACAGTTAACTTGCCTAGTAAAATGTTTGTTCTAAAATTCATTTTCTACACGGTATTGAACTGGTTCTGGTGAGGCATAAGAAGCAGTCGACAGTATTACGCTTTGAAATGCCAAAAAAGGACAATTGGTAGGATTTCCGGTCCTCACGGCGGTGAGTACGAAGACGGCTTCCTGACAGAAGTCAAAGACATATTCCTGATGATAGAGGCAGCAAAGAAACGTTGGTAAACTTTTACCAGACTACACGGCGCTGCAACCCAGGATACGGCCATCTTCAAAACACACTTTCTTCTTATTGTTGAAATGTCTGTATTTTATGCATTCATCCTGTAACCTCTCTATGACCTCAATGTAACGGCACGAATACACGAAATAAGAAAATAACAGAAGAAAAAGTTCGTTTCCACGTGCGTAAGTTGTCTAGTTACTATGGCAACAGTGTGAGGAATTGTAAAGAATGTGAAAAGAGTTTGTATTTCATGAGTGTGGAAATGGTTTTGTGCTATAAGAGATCGGATTTAACGATTTTCAGCAATACATGTGCAAAAGGTGCGTTAAGTCGTTATCTGCTCTTAATGTAATTTGTGCTTCTCTTACTATTTGAAGGGAATATGAGCGAGTGAGTAGTAGCGGGATTAATGGCTTTAAATGACGCCCCTTTCCATCATTTCAGAATGAAACTGCCGTGGGACTTGATAGAAAAGCTGACAACTTTCTCGAGTTCTTGAAGGAAACACAATTTGCGGTATAACGTTGATTTAAGCTACTAAATATCCCGAAATTTGCCAGGAGACACCTGGAAAATCCACAAAACACTTCAGTGTGATTAGCAGGTCTTCGGGCCGATGTTTGAACCCAGGTCCTCCATAATACGGAATAGATTCTCGGCCGTGGTGACTTTCACTTATAGCTCGTTAAAACTGATGGTGACCTGTGATTATTTTAAAACAGGGTTTATTTGGTACCCAGTCCTGGGGATACCATAGTCAGTAAAGTAACCGGCTATTTGATGGAAGGGGCAGGGAAATCTATCCTCGCCACCGTGCTGACTCTGGGGTTCACCAAACGGCATATACAATGGGTAAAAAGGGTTATATTTTATCTATAGTCCTACCGAGAAGACTTAAATACGGCCGACATAATTTAGTATAAAATTCAACACCAAATTTAAGAAAAATCTGTTTAGTACATCAGAAATAAAATATTTGGATAGACACATATACTTCCCGATTATGAGTTCGTTTTCATGTTATGTAAAGAATTGCTTATGGTCGTAACCCACTTCAGCTTCTGATTCAACGGTTGATTTAAGTACGTGAACGTTTCTGCGTGACGATGTTCGTGCTTCACGGCAGATTTGAACTGTTGATTGATTATCGAAACACGACTTTAGTCCTACGTAAAGTCTGAGACATTCTTTTCCTGTAGTTCAGTGTTTTATAACCGGTAAACGTCGGCACAATGGTGTTCCGCCACAAGGCTTCCGGTATACCGAGAATGTTTTTAATGAATTGTAAATTCACACGTTATACTTAGAAAAATATAATACCGTTTGTTTCGCAATAAGAATTCGTAAAAAAAATACACACACACACAGAGGTTTATGGTCGATAGTTTTGTTCATTGTGTGTTATATTTTATTTTCATATGTCAGCATTTTTAGGACAAGGATTTATATGTAGATATACATTTATGGTCATGCGCACCTGATATGTGAGGACTGTACGAATATTATATTTTGTTTCCTGAGATTTGTCCTACCTCGGGCTAGTTTCTAGACAGAACTGTTCCAAAAAGACGTTAATGACGTCTTTCCGACTTTTTGGCAATGCACCTCCTGATGAATTTGAATTCCTCTTCTAGGAGCCGGTTTCGACAAGCCCTGCCATCTACTGGATAGTTGCGAAACATAATATCGTGTGGCGGTGGTTCCGTCAACAAGATAACTTTGGATCCCTTCACAGGGTCGTACAAATTGCCACTTTAATGTTTGGCATATTTCTATCATTCTGTTTGTTATGCTGAGGCCCGTTAAGAGGGCGTAGTGATTATTGTGTGACTGCCTATTTAGTCGTAATTAAGCAGGATATTCGCCGTACAAACAGCTAGCTAGTTAGTGAATTCATTTCATCTTAGATCAATCAGCGTCTCTTGTACGAATTATGAAGTGAATGAGCATTGAAAATTGAAGAGAATAATATTAATGTAGG